GCTTATGCTTGGCGAGGATTGTGGGGCGGAAAGGGGGGGGGTGCGTTCGCGGAGTATATTCTCAAGGGATTTCTGCATCTTCAAAGAGATACCCCATCGAAACAATAGCTATTCTGTTTGGCCGAGGAGGAGCTGAATCCTTGGGCACATTGACGGACTCCTTGTGCAAAATGGATTCCTGCAACGGGATCAGGGCTTTTGCCCAAGCTTCAGCGCGGAGAAGCTCCGATGCCCAAATAAAATCATTAATCCAAATCTATTAGTTATTCGGGTGACATTACTCCTCGCTATCGTCAAGTAGAACTTTTGAACCTCTCCCCTCAATAGCAGATCCCCACGGGGTTTCCGGAGTTTTCAAATTTTCAAGAGGGTCATTCTTTTGCTTTTTTTACCCATTGAAAAGCCCCATATTCAAAGAGAAACCACTGAATGAACTGCACGTTGCATATTCTGGGATGTATTTGATTGCAGATAGTTGACGCCGGGAAGTGTTGTGCCCTCGGCCGTAAATCGTTTTTACGACTCCCACCTGGATCGGCTGTAGGCTTTCATCGTGGCCGCGCCCGGTATACCCACCTGTGCCTACCGTAGATGCGGTCAACTGTCAATTCACTCCGTGCCCTTTTCATAGTAGCTTCCTCCTTCCTGTTTCTCACTATTTTCACAATTTTATGAGCTTTTGATTTTTATTGATAGAAATTGAATACGAATTTGATCTTTCCACTGAAAGAAGTGGCTTGAACTGCTACATTGCTTAGTGGGGGCCTCTTTTCGCTCGAGTGTTTTTGCCTGACGCCACTGAGGCCTATAATTTTGAGTCTCAGGTGTGCGCGCAGAGTGAAACCACATGCGATCTCGACTCGCTCCGGTTAGCATACTCTTCCTCGTCGTGTGTTTCCTTCCCATGAACACCTATAATTCATCTCATTGCCCTTCCCTCACTTTTCCTCCCCATTTCGAGTCATTCTTCCATCTATCGTTCGTTGTCCTCCCACTCAGTGCATCGCCTTTCATTCATCATTCCTTACTACTTTATTCGGACATCGTTTTATAATCACATTATGAATGAAGTTGTTGAACAGTCGAACGAACTGAATACCGTAGTCATTCGTGGCGACGAGAAAAATGCTCCATTAGATCGCGCTCAAAATCGATGCATGGCGTCGCGCGCGCGCTGCTGCCCTAATACCACTGCAAAAAGACGCACTGAACGACCGAATTTTCGCCCATTAACATGCCGATTCAGCTGCTGAACATGTGTCCGACAGAGAACTGTGTGGCCCTAGCATGAACTCGAGTAACGCTCGGGGCTCTATTAGGAAACCCTCTTTCATTAGTACTAACCTAGGCGAAGAATTATGCGTCTCTAAGAATTTCTCCGATGGTTTTGAAACGTTTCAACGTCCTTATTTTGAAGAAGGCCCTACCTCGGCAGCCGTCAATTGTCAGTGAGGTGCACCGAGGTGGTCTGCCGTGGTGGGTGATCACATTTAGATAACCCGAGTGCCGCCCCATCCGTCGGCATCTTTCAAGCGCCCGGCTCAAAACATACCGCGAATTAGTCGAATTCGAATTTGACCGAGTTTGTCTAAGGAGAAAGTCAATGAACAGATATTAAAGAGAATAAATGGCTCTTTTAAATCGGTCGTTGAACATCGGTCATCGAGGAAAATGTTCGTTTCACAATTAACCCGCCCCAATGGGCTAACATGGACGCTGGATGTTGCTTAGGGTGCACACAGCATCCAACACTGGGAATATAAGCCAAGAAGGCTTGACCACGTTGGTCCACGACTGAATTGCTGTGAGTGAGGCTTGACCAGACTAGAACCAGGGAACCTTTTCTCCCATTAAATAGTTCTGTAAATTAAGCTTCTCCCGTAGGCTGAACGGCTAACAAGGATGAAGGCAAACTGGTTACTAGATGATCCCAAAGTTCTAGCATAGGAATTTGTTTTAGTTGCGATCACCGCGACTCCACTGCTTTCGAATCACAGCCTTATTTAGTGGAAGTGCTGCTCCAGAATCTCGCCCAGTGCTCGAAATCAAACAGACGAGAAGTGGCTGACTGGGCGCGTGTGCGCGAACGACGTTAGTGGCGTCGGCACCTTCAAAGGGTGGCTACTGTGGATTAAGCTCCGCCTATGGGGTGGAGTGAGCCGAACGCGGGGGGCGCCGAGACGACGACCCACCAGAGCGCACCATCGCCACCCATCATTTGAGTACCTATTCGGGTAATCTAACAAGCTCGTTAAAAAGCTAAATGTCTGACATTAAACGTTTTGGCACTTCTCACACACGGATTTCGTCCCACTCAACGGCTCCTTCCTTACTCGGCGATCATCTCACTCACTACCAGTCCTTCTTAATGGACTTCAACGAGGTAAATCACAATAATAATAATTTTGTTTTCCTGGAAAATTATGAGTTATATTTTTGAGAAAAATATCTATAAGAAAACAGCACGCCAAATAAATTGAACTGCTCTTTTCAAGCTGTACTGCATTACTCGCTTCATCTCCCATATGCGCCCAACTTCTAAATTTCTTCTGTTTTCCACTCCCCAAGTCTCTCCTCAATAGCGCTCCCTGGTACGTTTCGCTTACAAGTGGGAAGGGGCCTAATAAACCCGCCTGCACCTGCTACGAGCTTCTGATGTGCTTCTTCTAGCAGATAACGTGCTTTCTGTGACAGGGCTCATGGTCGCGCTTACGGTAGACCGTGAGTCCTGTCAGAAAATGGACACACACCTCCTGAGTATTTTTGTTCGTCGTTCTCCTTTGGACCCTTACTTTTTCTTAGAGTAGGGTCCAAAGGGAAACTTGGAACCCCTTTGGACCCTACTCTGGGAAAAAACGTAGGGCCCAAAGGGGCACGAGGAGCCTAAATACCATGCATGTACGATTGGTCAATCTCTGGTGACTTCCCGTTTCCATCTATCAAAGCCTAACTTTCCTGGGCCAAGCTCTCATTTATTCAGCTTTCAGCTCTTATCCTCCTTACTCCGGTCTCAGATTATCTACTACCGCTTTTCCTTCTCCTCCATCCGCAACCTTTGCCTACCGCTTCAGTGCTGTGATGCCCGATAACCCTAGGTAAACTCCGTCCCATCTCTTTCATTACGACGCGTTTAGTCACATTTTGTTGTTACCACTACCATGAGGTAACCCTTTCCATGGACATCCGCGTCGCTTTGGCCCCTGAGCGCAGCACGTCCTCTCGCTCTAATTTGCATAGTCGTAAACCTTGAAATGCGATTTGATGTGATTCAGAAATATTGATTTTCCCCCTCAAGTCCATGCTTTTCGAAAGCCATTTTTCAACGATTTTTATGAATATAAAGGACACCTATCTGGGTATAAAATGTAAAGAGTAGGAAAATCATGCTTGAGTCACAATGGGACATATTTGTTCACATAAAAGCCCTATAGAGAAGAAATTTGCTTTCACTTTTGATTTTTTCAAGTAGCTGGCACGATGCGAACATTTTTGGGGCCTATTCTGGTAAAGAATTTTATGATATGCAAACAAACTTTGCAAACAGCACACGTTGGGTGGTCCCGTCTGGGAAGTTCACGACACTTGCAGTGTTCCTATCGCTGAATCCATTTCCACTTTGTGGACCGTAACTGGTACATTTTTCAAGCAATTTTGTTTGGCTGTCGTAGGTTTAGGTTTTACTGAAAATCAAGTGGCAAATTAGGAAAACTTGGGCTTTTGGGCTAAAATTTTGAGCATGAAACTCACTGGCCAGGTGGAGAGGATGAGCTGCTGATAATGCAGGAGGTAGTGGATGGCTGGATGGCTGGCTAGCTGACGAGGCGCCACAGACGACCGATGATTCGACGTCGTCGTCCGCATAGGTATGAGAAGAGGCAGGGAGCGTTCTCTAATAGCCGCCATTCGAAATGATCGTAAAATTCGAACGGCCATCCAAATGCCCTCATTAGAAAGGTTCAAACTAGCGCAATTCAATGCGCATTTCTTTTCAAGTAATTTGCTCGTTCTCACTCTTCACTTCGCAACACATCACTGAAGCAGCTCGTTCTAATGTTGCGAATTATTTAGCATTCAGCGTGCGTTGTTCTTCGAACTTTGGGCCAGCCTTGGTCACTCTGAGCCCTTATTTTCTCAGAATGTCTGCAGAATGTGTTCTTCTTATGTCAGATTTCGAATCTCTGGACTTTCTGGAGCGGGCGCGGTCAAACCGAGGTCCAGCACATTTTTCCGCAAATATCAAAATTGCGACGATTTTTATAGGATCCCGTATTGTTTATGCGGGTAGAACCGTTATTCATGTGAAATTACTTCGGCGCCACTTTCATACGAATTTATCGCCATCACAAATCAAGCACACTTGTCACCCCGGTGTGTCACAGAATCGTTCATGAACTCTATGATGAGATGGGTAGTGGCTATGACACTTTTCAACAACTCATTACCTATTTCTCGAACACATTTTCATTTTTGCTGTAGTGCCAGTTAGCTCATCTGTCGCCTTGCCAGCTTTCAGCGAATCACGGCCGTTAGCCACGCCCCCTCGAATACGGTAGTGTCGCGCCGGCGCCGAACCTCAGATGAATCCCGCCACGCTGTCATCGGTTGGCTTCGATTTCGGAGCCTCTGGCAGTCAGCCAGAAGCAAATGATCATCTTCAGGTAAGCCAAAGATTTCTTCATTTCTGCTCTCACTATGTGATCGGCCACGTCCAGGTGCACCCACAAACACCCATATGGCTACGTCCAATTCACTCATCTACTACGAATACCACATTACATGCGCCATCATTGCGGATCATAATTGGTAATGGGGCCCATTGGTGAAACATTAGAGCCCTAAGTGCCTCATTGGGCCGGCACATAACTCTTCCAGTTGGCATATTCATGACGCGCAGTCGTGTGAATCCACAGCGACGACCGCGAAGCACCATCACCATCACTTAGATACCCTTGCGAGCAGCTTGCAGAGCTGTACGCTAATCTTCCGCTCACTAAAATGCCGCACACCACTCATCGACCTCATTTTCCTTCATCTTTCATTTTTCATAGTGAGTAGCGATTTTTCTTCATTTTTCCTATAGAATTTCCACTCCAAATATCTGAAAATAAAAGGTTCGCGTTGCAGAGGCTGGCCGCAATGACCCAAGGAGTAGGTAAAGACGATAATGATCAAACAGCTGCTCCATCTACGGATGCCGCCTTATACACAGGTGAATAAGAAATTTTATAGTTAATTTTCAGCGTTCACTTTTATCTATATTCAGGTGCAGCCGCTTATATGCCTGGCTATGCCGGTTGGCCTAACTATTATCAGCAATTTGGACAGCCTTTAGCTCCTGCAGCGTTCTCTGCTTGGCCTCCGCAATGCTATGCTGCTCCACATTGGCCTAACTATGGTGAGTGTTACCTCATTTTGTCACTGAAATTTATCCCATAAGTTCAGCACTTGCCCCTCAAATGGCTTATAGTCTCGCCTTGCCCGGGTTAATTTCTGCTGGAGCTTTTCTGGGCTAGAAATTCGTGGTCTTTCAGCAGCCGATATGGGAAGTAGGCCATAATTTGGCCAGGGGGATACCAAAGTCCTGCCCTACCCCGTTAGACTCTCTTATGTGCTGCATCGATTTTCTCTTTGTGTGGGGTCCGTGCGGAAGAGCGACATGAGCTCTTCCGTCTAATAGCCACTTACGATCGTTAACGCGGCTCTTTGTGATTTATGTCACGTAACTGCAGAACTACCATAGTAACGTTGCTGCTCGCCCTTTGCTAGATTGTACTTCACCTTTATAGACCCTCCTAAATTATTTCCACTAGCCAACGTAGATGCTATAGTAGACGGTCCTCAACAGAACGGAATGCTACTGTAGTAGTGGCGAAAGTCGATCGAGTTGTGACTGTTGTGCTGGTGTGTGTTTCCTCTGTTTATTGTGTGGCATGATGACCACCGTACACCACAGTAGCAAGTGCTTTGTGCACGATCGAAACGATTGATCGATAATCGATCAATTTCATGCACACGATCGTGCACGATGTGCAAGCGACGAGCTGCAGGCAAACACACGCGGGCAAAACATGCATGTGAACAAGTAAAACTTGAACTGACTGAGAGTAGCCAGCGTTCCGTTTATACTCTTCCGATTCGGACCACCACAACCACCTGACGTGTGTTTGTTTCAGCTGCGTCGAAAAAGGGCAGGCAGACGTACCAACGATACCAGACGAGCGTGCTCGAGCAGAAATTCCAGCAGTCCAGTTATGTGAGCAAGAAGCAACGCGAAGAATTACGGCTACAGACAAACCTTACCGATCGGCAAATCAAAATCTGGTTTCAAAATCGACGGATGAAAGCCAAAAAGGAAAAACAACGGATAGACGATCATGGCGAGCATGCACCACTTCTACCAGCCAATCCTCCCAAAACTCTTCTAGAAGATGACGATAAGAAATGGCATATGGGTGCAACGCAACAGGCTGCCGCTTGGCCTCCTGCACCTCCGCATCCCTATCAGTATCCATTATGTCCACCGTGAAGTGGAAGTGATAACACGGGTCTAATTTTACGAAACTGTTCAATTCGATATCTATTGATTCTGTGCGGTGTGAATTTTGTGTGTAAAGTATTTGTGCAAATTGTTCTTGTGTTTTCAGTAGTACTTCTGTAGATCAGCTCGATCGAAATCAACAAAACTTCAGTAGAAACTGCAAGGTACTGTATTGCAGTAACCCTTGAATTGCACAAATTTGCGGTGCAACCTGGCTCCGTCAGGGCAAGAATTCCTAGATTTTCTGGATTGAAGGGAGTTGTCATTCAAGGGGGGGGAGGTACAACCCGAGTCCTGAACCCTTTGCCGTAACTGTGCTCGACAAATATCGCTTACATAGATACTGTATGGGTGCTATTTTCTGAATTTTGCCCCAAGAGGAAACAGCTATGTGCTCATGTAGGTGCCTGAGAATGTCTTCAGAATGCCTATAAGGCTCACTGTACCGCTGAATCGGTAAAATTCGCCCGAAGAGGAGAGGAAAGCCTCCGACGGAATCAGTGTGCTAAGTAGGAATTATCATGGTGCCAAATGTCTATTTTTGCTCGGAGAAGTTGGTCCAGTTAGAACTCCTGGAGGTCTGCTCCTCCTCAACCTCAGACAAGATCGCTCATCTCTTCAAATTTTACGGCAGTCTCAGCTTTGCCTAAGGGCTTCTTTGAAGGTCTCCCACCCTCCCCCCTAGTTGACTTGCTCCACTGGTCCTACTACGTCTTCTAAATTTCTGCACAAGGGGTCCTTTGAAGGTCCCACCTTTGGCCCTTGAGTGACTTGCGCTCTTGTTCTACCGTATTCTTAATAAGATCCTAGGAGGGGCCTGTGAACCCTATGAGAAAGCATTTCCCGGAGCTGATACTAACCGAGCGCTGGCGTCGCCGAGTCTATGTGGGCTCTAATTAGTCGAGCAAGCTTTGACGTTTCGCAACCAGGCAGTGGTCTGGGCCTGGCGCACGATTCCAGATTTCTTGTAGAGATTCCGGTTTTGCTAGTTTACAAGGCTGCATCCTTCTGTCCGTCAGGCCAACCACGCTGCTCCAAGGCGTTTTTCCTCGACCGCTACGAATCTCTGCTACGAACGGGTAATATCCTGACAGCGCCGTAGATCTAGCACACATGCCAAAAAACCGTATCGCAAGGGAACTTTTGCGACAAAAATCGTTTGCGGGAACACGGCGACTTCAGGGTGGTCAACACTGGGGGTCTGACCGTAAGACAAGGATAAGATCTACTTCGCCGCGGGAAAGCTGCTCACAGTCATCCTGCAGGAGGTTACCCACTTCAGTCCTCGTTCTAACATGATACTGTACTCGTAAAGTTTAGTTTCGGACGCCTGTAAGAAACGCGGAAGGCAGACGTATACCCGACAGCAGACGCTTGAACTCGAAAAGGAGTTCCACTACAACAAATACCTCACACGAAGGTTTGCTTGGCTCACTACGCTATGTTTGAGTTTCGTTCCTCATGGAACCGATCTCTCTGGTTTGCAGGCGACGAATCGAATTGAACCGGAGTTTGGGACTTTCCGAACGTCAAATCAAGATCTGGTTCCAAAACCGTCGAATGAAGCAGAAAAAGGAGAACAAATCACAAAACGAGCAACGAAGTGATTGCGCCTAGCTGGCCAGCCAGTCAGCCACCACCACATCTCCATACTCCATTCCCAGTCTTCCACCGGTCTAGTCAATTTAGTTTTTAGTTAATTTAGAAATAGTTTTGTGTACAGACACAGCTCCATAGCTATTGATCTCATGCAATTTAATGCTTTTCCCGATTGGATCACTTGCAAATTGTTCACTTTTGCCTTTAGCTAGCTAAGCGTTTCTTAGACCAACACCCCTCGCTGGAACCAAGTTCTATCAATTCGAAATGTTACTCGAAAAACGGAAGTACTATGTACCTTTCCATACAATCACACTGTACTGTAAACGAATATGGTTAAATCATTTATTGAATTCCGTGACAGACAGAACGACAAAGAGCGCGATGGTGAAAGAGATACCGTAACCACGGCGCTCGCTCTTGTACAGCAACACCGGCGGCACGCCGCGCGTTTTCGATCCATCCATGACCACAAAAACGGTTCCCCTTTAAGGAGGCGCCGCGAATTTGCATGTGACGTTAACTTCATTCGAAACGAATAGAGCGTGTTCATTTCCTGGCCACAGTTCGAAGGCTGAGGAGGTTGTGATGTTCTCAAGGGCAGAGAGGTTGGAGGGACCAACATCAATCGGGCTCCTTTTCACACAGTCATCCAACACCTGCTGACTGTTCACGAGGCCATTATCAGCTGAAATTGAAAAATCGATGAAAAATCAATGGAGACCTTGAAAAAAATGGGGGCAGAGTTCGAGAAATAAGGCGGAATATTCGGGAAAAGGCAAACACAACGAACGTGTGCATATTGATGCTGTGATTGAGGTGACGCAAAGAAGACATTAGTCCGGTTTGATGTTGTGTTTACACAAATATTTAACTACCGTACACCATACCACACAGGCAACGAGAGAAAGAGCGTTCGTTTGTTCGTCAGCTAGCTAGCTAGCTAGCTAGCTACCGTAGCCCCCATGACGACAACTACCTTATTCATTTATTTCCGAGCGGAAGACAACGAGCGACGAGCGCAGCAGTCATTTCCACCACTACAATGAACGCTCCCTCACAAACATACTCAGTTCCACTTATGGAAGTAATATCATGGGGCAAACAGATCGATAAACGGAAATTTGTAAGTAAGAAACCATTGAATGTGATAGGACTGTGTACTTTTGAAGTCAAGCCCTTGGGCTCTAGAGGAAGCGCGATATCTATCCTTCCCGGCCTCTGCCGGACATTACCCTCGAGAAATCACTGCTCGATCTCATCTCTCGTCTCATCTACATTGACGTTCATTCAAAATCTCGAGCGCTACCGTAATCTCTATCGCTACCGTACTTGGTATGTGAGTGTGAGTGAGTGTGTAGTCGGGTGCGCATCGGTTCGTTTGTGTGCATGTGCGCGATGGTCCCAGACGTCTCGTTGTCTATTGATATTCAGAAACGGAGCGGCTGGGAGCCAACTGTGAATTAAACGATAAATCGCACGCGGTTTCATGTGATTTTCAATGGGCCTATAAATGGGATGCATAAGAGCACGACGCTTGCAGAGATTTCAGACGTTCAGAAAAGCCAAAGCTAGCTAGACCTGGAGGAGTAGTGCTGGATATGTGCGTGGAATAGGGAACGAAGCATAAGCCATGGAAAGCGTTCGCTGTAGAACAAGGGAGCATGTGAAAGGTTCTGACTAGCTGCAAGTGATGGGAGCAGGAACCTGCACGAACTCGTCGAGGCATTTTCAAGCTGCTGTGAAACCCATCAGGACCTTTTCCTACAGTAGGTAGTACAGCATATTCAGTGTATAACGTTACAGCTACAGAGCCATCAGGAGGACGAGAAAGTGATTAATCAGCTATCGATGCTGTGTTTCGTTACATTTATTTTTTAGTGATTCATAGAAGCTATTCTAACCTCTGAATGCACCTACCGAGCTGTATAATAACTAGCCTAAGGTATCGTCTGGATATCAATCGAGACTCGTCTGCTGTGAGGGAACAGTTTTGCAGATACGACGCCCCCCCCCCTGAAACTTCCAGTTTTGAAGAATTCCTCCCCTGGTGCGATTTCCCTCGTCCTACGAGTATCTCCAACGTAGGACGTGCTCTGATCCCAATCGGTCCATTCAATGAAAAGTCACTCTGGAAAGTGATGAGAGAATGGGGGTCCGATAATGAGTTCGCTAGCACGATCACATAGTGAGTTACATCTCATATGTAGGCTCAGTGCTAGCGTTTTCAGGGCTCTTGGTGGTCTTTACAGGCGCATTGCCCTGTAGAGATTACTGCAGGAGTACAGATACGGAATGAGAGGTGGAGCTGCCGACCTGACAGAGTCCGTCCTCATTTACAATAGAGCCCAGAGGTTCGAGTGAAGCCATCTTCTCCTGCTGAATACTCCATTATTTCTCACCTACTGTTAGCTCAAAGTCTTAGACTCACTGGCTGACGATTAGTTGTGGGTTCTACACAGATGGTGGAACCCTTTGCCTCTAACGATGGCAACTCGAGGCTAACTCAATGAAGGTCCCATCTATCAGCAAAGAATAGCGCAAAATAACCGACACAGGCTACAGCTTACCATGGCGAAGTTACCGGTAGAGAGAAGTTGGAGAATGCGTAGCATGCTGGAAGGCCAGAGCAGTTTTCTGTCTAGCCGTTCATAAAGGGCAAAATGTGACCCGGAATTATAATGATAGGGATACAAGAAATGAGAAGGAGAAGTGGGTCGGAACGTGGCTCCACAAAAGCTCTATCAGGACTATGAACATTTCTTAGTTCTTGCTCCGAAAAACTCATCAGCGGGCATGAGATAGTCCGTGAACGTGGGAAAAAACTCGGTTGAGGTAATCGTGAAAAAACTTTCTAAAACTCGTCAACTGTCCACTTCCTATTACAACTCCAATTTTGAAATCTTTTAGAGAGGTATTCGCTGGACAAGCCCAGGGAATCGATATTTCAATCGATACGGTTGACGACGCCATTAGGTTGGCCCATTAGGCAGCTCCTCATGCCCGACCGGCAACACAACGGATCTACCCAGGTTGTTGATGAAGACAAAATAAGGGCGTAACTCTGGAGATTTGCTCTTCTGGTAATACAGTACCTCAAGGGAAAAGCCTTTCTGCAATAGCTTTCTTTACGGGGGGGGCTATATGAGTTTAGTCGCCATGTGGAGGATCATGTGGCTCTCTAAAACCGTTGCGATTAGGAGATTTTCTAGGAGTTCTGTCTGGCTATTGTGTGGACCTGCTCGCAATACCCCTGTTTTCAAAAGGTTCTCAACTACTGCCATGTCGGAGCCAATCGATGGTGGACGGATTTCTGCTGTCCTCCCTAATGGACTATATGTCGATGGTTTTTCCTTCGAAAACCGTGCCGAATGTCTGATTTTTTCGTTGTGGCGCTAGGTAGGTCGGCGCCATGTAATTTCGCCACGCGACAAGGTCGCCTCGCGAAAAACAACCTCACTTCCTGCTGAAAACGGGCTGTTCTAGGGGGACCGCATTAGACGAAGCGCTTGCCTTGACTAACTTTAATACTTTCCGAAGTAGAGCCGCTCTAGAGATTACAGAACTGATTCTAGGTTAGGTCTAACGAATGCAAAGATGTGAGTGGCTGTTGGCAAAAGTTGCTAATGAGTCCTCAACCAAATTTATACCCCTAAAACCATTTCAAGGGTGCAGGAACAGAACGTGTGAACTGTGGCAGCCACTTTCAACGAAAAAGGAGTTTAGCAGGAGTTTCTTCAGCCTCAAAAAAGGAGTCTGTAGGAATTTCTTCAGCTTCACGAAGAAATTTCGTCTTCAAGTCGTCAAGAGGTCTACAGGGCTCTTCATGGACTTGGTGAGCAACATCCACAAGTTCAATATTTTCGCCAAAAAATCCTGGGTTCGAGAAGATCAATATGAGGTTCCCAGAGTGCAAGAGACGTTTTTCAAAAGTAGTAGTTATGGCTTCTTAAGTGCTGGTTATACTGTAGGGTGAAGAAATTGAAAGGCAGGAATTTCCTCGAAAACCGAGTTTCTCTAGAGTGCGTCCAGAGCGAATTCCTTTTTCGCCCAAAGACGAATATGGAGTGGAGTTGAAGGTGCTGTTCAGCAAACGTGGGAAAGCCTACGAGCTTCCTCTACCCCAAGATTTTCAGCCCTTTGCAGAAATCTTGAGGTACTCCCAGAGTGAGATATCCGTTTGAAAAGTCTAGTCCTTAGTTCTCCTTCCCGGATATGTTGAGAATTTTCTCCGATAAAGGAGGCGATACAGAATGCCACGTCCTCCGTAGCCAGTCGCCGTCATCTCTTCTAGTGCAAGGACAAACTCGAAATTGAAAATCGAAAAAACCGCCACCAATACCGTAACCCGGCATGAGGAGCGATGACGGGGAGAGAATGTTTCGCCCTTGCCTGTGCTGGAAATCTAATTATGAAAACGAGTGAGAATCGATTTGCGTGTATGAGAACGAGGGGGAAATTCATTTGAAATAGATCATAACATGGACGTAAATTTGCGCTCGTTCCGACACATTCAATTTGCAGGTACTAATTACTATGCTGCTCACTTTGTTATCGTGTGGTTACTGTAGTTGGTGGGATTACGTGTAGGGACTACCGTATACCGAATTCAGAACAATACCACGTATTGAAAATGCAACAGACGTATGGATTATGCATTACTTGCGAGGCTACACGACAGCGCAGCTTTGGACATTGGCGAAGGCTGGCGCCGATTCTTTGCCCTTCGAAAAGGATTTTATTCTAGAAGAGAGCGTTTCGAAACAGTTTAGGAAAAATCTCTTGGTCAGTGTTACCCATACTTAACAGGTTCCTTAAGAAAGAACTTCTCGATACGTAAAGGCAACTGACAAAATTTCCAAAAATAATGTTTAGAATGGCAGAAAAAAGATGAAATGAAGGGACAAACAATGAAGGGAAGCAACGGTGGAGAAGCGAGGAAAACCAACTATACGGCTGAGTGCGGAAATGCGAGTGTGTATAAAGCGGTGCCTGCCGCGCCGAGCCAATACCATCCA